GCCTGGGGGTGCAGAGCCTGGGGGTGCTGAGCCTGAGCGTGCGGAGCCTGGGGGTGCTGAGCCTGCGGGTACGGAGTTTGGGGGTGCTGAGCCTGAGGGTGCTGAGTCTGGGGGTGCTGAGCCTGAGAGTGCTACGTCTGAGGGTACTGAGCCTGGGGGTGCTGCGACTGACCGTGCTGCGCCTGGAGGCGCTCCCTCTTCACAGCAGCTGCGGGAGTGGTACTCGCGGTACTGCAGCCTCAGGAGGGGCGCTTCGGGGGCTAGGGGTGCTGCTGGAGCTGGTGCTCGTGGTTCCCCGCCTAGGCGGGAGCCGCCCTCTCCCCAGCGGCTCCGAGAGTGGTACGCTCGGCGCTGCAGTCTCCGGAGTGGCGCTGCTGGTGCTTTGGACCCTGGAGCTGGTGCTGGTGCTGGTGCTGCTGGTGCTGGAGCTGCTGGAGGTGCTGCTGGTGCTGCTGGAGGTGCTACTGGTGCTGGAGCTGCTGGAGGTGCTGCTGGTGCTGGCGCTGCTGGAGGTGGTGCTGGTGCTGGGGCTACTGGAGGTACTGCTGGTGCTGGAGCTGCTGGAGCCGCTGGTTCTGGAGGTGCTCGTACTCGAGGTACTGGAGCTGCTGGGACAGGAGCTGCTACGGGGGTTGGAACGGGAGGTACTGGAGCTGCTGGAGCTGCTGGTGGTGCTGCGGGAGTTGTAGCTGGAGACCCTGGGGCTGAGGGTGCTGGTGCTGTCTCTGCTGGTTCAGGAGGTGCTGCGTGGCCGCGGCCGTACTACATTCCGCTCCTTCAGCAGGTTCTTGGACTCCCGCCCTCTACTGGTCCTCCTCCTCCCCTACTGAGTCCACCACCTGTCCAGTCGCAGTCACAGTTACAGCCTGCCTCTCCACTGCCTGGTCCTTCTCCTTACGCTGGGCCGACTAGAGGTCTTACGGAGCGTCGTGAGCCTGAGTCTCGTCCTGCGTCGCCTGAGTCTCGTCCAGAGTCGTCTGTCCGCGCTGTCCGCACTGGTCGTCGTGTTCCACGTCAGCGTCCTCCTCCTGTCCTTGGCACTCACTATATGACTCTGCGTCCTTCCACTGCTCCACAGCGTGTCCCTCTGCCGTCTCCTCCTGCGTCCTCTCTTCCTGACGGTCCGGACCCGGAGTCTGACTCCCTTCGTGCTGCCAGTCCTACTGTCACGCGTTTCCTCGCCACTGTTGTCACTGACCCTTCCTTTGAGTCCACTGCTGCGTCTGCTCTAGTCTCTGAGCTTGTTGACTTTTCTGCCGCCTGTCGTCTAGACTACGCCGCTAGCCTTGTTGCTGAGTCTGAGTCTGAGTCTGTCTGTCCTCCGTCCGTCGGGGGTGAGTGTGCTCTTGGCACGGACGTCCTTGAGGACAGACAGGAGGAGTTTGAGTGCTTTGCCGCTGCTTTACCTCATCTCGTGTCCATGCTGCTTGCCCTTGAGGGAGACCCGGATGCACCAGACATCCCGACCCCGCGCTCTTACGCAGAGGCGATACAGGGTCCCTACTCCTCTCAGTGGCAGACAGCCATGGACGCAGAGATGGCTTCCTGGAAGTCCACAGGCACCTACGTCGACGAGTTTCCCCCAACTGGGGCAAACATCGTCAGTGGCATGTGGATCTTCAGGGCGAAGCGGCCGCCGGTTTTCCGCCTGTCTTCAAGGCGCGTTACGTTGCACGAGGCTTCAGTCAGCGTGAGGGAGTTGACTTCTTCCAGACCTTCTCCCCTACCCCGAAGATGACCACTCTTCGGGTTCTGCTGCACGTCGCCGCTCAGCGTGACTACGAGCTCCACTCTCTGGACTTCAGCACTGCTTTCCTACAGGGCAGCCTGCACGAAGAGATCTGGCTGTGCCGCCCACCTGGCTTCACTGGGTCGTTTCCTCCTGGTACCCAGTGGAGCCTCCGGCGGCCAGTCTACGGTCTCCGCCAGGCACCCCGTGAGTGGCACGACACACTGAGGACTACTCTTGCTGCTCTTGGGTTTGCTCCGTCTACTGCTGACCCGTCGCTGTTTCTACGCACCGACACCACTCTGCCGCCGTTCTACGTTCTCGTGTACGTCGACGACTTGGTCTTTGCTACTTCTGACACTGAGGCACTCGCACACGTGAAGTCAGAGCTGCAGAAGAGACACACGTGCACAGACCTGGGTGAGCTGACAAGCTATCTTGGCTTGCGGATCACCCGGGACAGAGCACAGCGCACCATTACCCTGACTCAGTCACACATGGTGCAGCAGGTCCTTCAGCGCTTCCGCTTCACGTACTCCTCGCCTCAGTCCACTCCTCTGCCTACCGGTCACTCGCTCTCAGCTCCACCTTCGGACGAGTCCGTAGAGCCGAGTGGCCCGTACCCAGAGCTTGTGGGCTGCCTCATGTACCTGATGACCTGCACTCGACCTGACCTTGCATACCCTCTTAGCATCCTAGCACGCTATGTCGCTCCTGGCCGTCACCGGAAGGAGCACATGGATGCCGCTAAGAGGGTGTTGCGCTACTTGTGCAGTACGTCGGGCATGGGGCTCGTGCTTGGAGGACGGGCTCGAGTTGTCCTCACTGGTCACGCTGACGCTTCTTGGGCTGACGACTTGACTACGCAGCGGTCGTCACAGGGTTACACCTTCAGCCTTGGCTCCGGCTCTGTCTCTTGGCGGTCTACCCGCTCGTCTTCTGTTTTCAGCTCCAGTTGTGAGGCTGAGATCTACGCAGGGGCCATGGCTGCACAGGAGTTACGCTGGCTCACCTACCTGCTGACTGACCTTGGAGAGCCGCCTCGTTCTCCTCCAGTGCTGTACGTCGACAACAAGGCCATGATTGCCTTGTGTCAGGAGCACAGACTGGAGCACAGAACGAAGCATGTCGCTCTGCGCTACTTCCTTGCTCGAGAGTTGCAGCAGCGTGGTCAGCTTCGTCTTGCTTACGTGGCCACTCGGGCCAACACTGCTGATGTGTTCACCAAGGCGCTTCAGCCTTGTGATCATCAGCGTTTCTGTACTGTTCTAGGCCTTGTGCCTACTGTGCCTCACTTGCTTACTTCTTGACTCTGCTTGTACTGTGATCTCTATAGATATAGCTGCATGCTTGCACTTGCTAGGTTGTGATCACTGTACCTCTTGTTATGTTATCAACCTGCATGTGAACTGGTCTTTTGACCGCTTGCTTGTGCTCGGAATTTGTGTGGTTTCCTTGAGATCCACCCTGAGCTTGCTTTGCTTTGCTTTGCTTTGACTGGTCTTGTGACCATCTAGTTGTCTCCCACTTCGCCTATGGGGGTGTGTCAAACATTGTATATGTTTGTGTTCTGTTGGCTATAGTGGGTTTAGTCTTAGGGGGTACAACTTCTAGGTTTTCCTACTTGTACTCCCAATGTTTCTAGTCAACACACTTCTCTCATTCTGACAAGGGAGTCTATTACGTAATTGCCGGGACCGACCGCATCTGGGTACCAGGGTACACACTGCTATGGGAATTGCTGTTACAGGAGGCACACGACGGAGTTACCTCGGGACATTTCGGGGTAGAAAAAACACGGCAACAGCTGCAGCGGTATTATTATTGGCCCGAAATGTTGACCGACGTTCAACGACACGTGGCATCGTGTCCCACTTGCCAGATCATGAAGTCATCACGGAAGCGACCGGCAGGACAGTTGCAGCCGATACCACCCCCAGAGCGTGCTTGGCAGCAGGTGACGACGGACTTTGTCACGGGGTTACCGGCCGGAGCGAGTGGGAATGACGCGATCCTGGTCGTCGTCGATCGACTGACGAAAATGGCACACTTCGCAGCCTGCAAAAAATCAATCACAGCCGAAGAAACAGCCCGCCTCTTCATCTCTACCGTCGTTCGACTGCACGGGATACCAACATCGATCATCAGCGACAGAGACACGAAATTCACCAGCAACTTCTGGCGGAACCTGTGGCAGCAGTTCGGCACGCGACTACAGTTTAGTTCATCATACCACCCCGAAACCGACGGACAGACAGAATGGACAAATCAGACCATGGAACAACTCATCCGAGCCACGTGCGACGACCCGACCACATGGGAACAGCAACTGCCACTCATCGAATTCGCGTAAAACAACTCACCCTTTGCCACGACTCAACAGTCACCATTTTACCTGAACTACGGACAAGACCCCACAGTACCCATGACCACGAATCCCGACAATCCAGTCCCACGCGCGCAACAGTTCGCAGAAATATTACAAGCAGCACGGACCCGAGCAGCAGAAGCAATAAAAAAATCAAACGTCATCGCTAAGCGCAACGCCGATCGACACCGCCGCCCCGTCACTTACCAACCCGACGACCTAGTATTACTCGACACTCAAAACCTCCGCCTGCGCATCACCCCAAAACTCCGCCCCCGATATTGCGGGCCATTTCGCATCAGCCACATGATTACACCCGTCACCGCCCACCTCCTCCTCCCTGCTGACTGGTACGTCAGCCCGTCGTTCCACGTCAGCCTATTTCGCCCATACGTACCATCCACCAGCCAACTGCCTCGCAACCGCCCGACCAGCATGACACGACCACCAACAGAACCAATCATCACGCCCGAGAAAATACTGAGCCACCGAGTACGTGACCCACGGGGAGCCCGCAAGATCGAATTCCTGATCCGCTGGAAAGATCGCACACCCACCGAAGACAACTGGGTTCCCCTGGACAGAATCGAAAACCACCCCGTCCTCACAGAGTACCTGCGCAGCCGAAATTTCCGGGATGTACACGCGCTTTCATAAGGAGGGCCTCCTTGGGGGGGGGGGTAGTGTAAGGAAAATTCTTTTTCCTTACTTCGCGTCCCTACTCAGCGCGTACACCACTGTCCCCGCCAAACAGCACCCAACAGTAATCCGTTACCACTCGGCCTGCCCCTCCCACTGCCACCGCTCCTCTTCTGCTGCTCAACTTGCCACCAATCTTGCTGCGCCATCTTCCTTCGTGCCGCCATTTGTTTGCCATGAATATTCTTAGCCACCGCATGCAGCATGCCCCTCAAGGCAGGGTGGCGCCACACAGTGGCAGTGGCAGGCACGTGGCTGTGCTCAGCAGTGCCGCATGTGCATGCCACCTGGTCCGACAGGTACGAGTGGGAGGGCGAGGGCAGCGAGGAGGCGGGGGCAGCAGGCAGTGTGCAGATGCGAGTGACGGCAACGAGTGTGGTGAACGTGAACGTGACGGCCACCAGTGTGGACGCCCTCACAGCCGCCACCCACGGGTGGAGCAAGCTCGTGCAGCACGAGGCTGATGCCAGGCGTGCACTGCTGCAGGTTAGACACGCCTGTGGCTGTGTGCGTGCAGCCATATGTGCGTGTGTGTGTGTTTGTGTTTGTGTTTGTGTGTGTGTGTGTGAGTGTGTGTGTGAGCGTGTGTGTGAGTGTGTGTGTGTGTGTGTGTGAGTATGTGTGTGTGTGTGTCTGTGTGTGTATGTCTGTGTGTGTGTGTGTGTGTGTGTGTGTGTGTGTGTGTGTGTGTGTGTGTGTGTGTGTGTATGTGTGTGTGTGTGTGTGTGTGTGTGTGTGTGTGTGTGTGTGTGTGTGTGTGTGTGTGTGTGTGTGTGTGTGTGTGTGTGTGTGTGTGTGTGTGTGTGTGTGTGTGTGTGTGTGTGTGTGTGTGTGTGTGTGTGTGTGTGTGTGTGTGTGTGTGTGTGTGTGTGTGTGTGTGTGTGTGTGTGTGTGTGTGTGTGTGTGTGTGTGTGTGTGTGTGTGTGTGTGTGTGTGTGTGTGTGTGTGTGTGTGTGTGTGTGTGTGTGTGTGTGTGTGTGTGTATGTGTGAGTGTGTGCGTGTGCGTGTGCGCGTGTGCGCATGTGTGCATGCAGCTGTCTGCATATAAAGATGACATCACTCAATTCGAATCCGCACTGCACGTCTCCGTTTTCACTTCACTTCTCTCCTTCACATGTTTACCTCAGGGAGCTTCACCAGCAGCAGCAGCAGCGGCAGCAGAAGGGGAAGGAGGGGGAAGGAAGGAGGGGAGGAGGGGGGAGTGGCAATGGACAGGGAGGACGCCCTGCGAGTGCTCGTGGACAACCGCCTGGGCGCCCCTCTCTACGCGCGCTCCGCCAAAGACGCCTTTGCCCACCTCTACACACTGCCGCCCGCCCACACGTCGTCCGTGCCGCTGCCGCCCTTCCAGTTCCCCGACATGCTGCGCCCCTCCGCCACTGCCGGTGTGGGCGGCAAGCGCCGGCGCAGCACACGGCGCTTCATGGCTCTGCGCCTCATTGAGGGGCTGGTGAGGCACAGGGGGGAGGCTGGTGAGGCACAGGGGGGGGGCTGGTGAGGCACAGGGGGGCACACTGGGGGGGATGGTGAGGCACACTGGGGGGGCTGGTTAGGCACACTGGGGGGGCTGGTTAGGCACACTGGGGGGGCTGGTGAGGCACACTGGGGCACACTGGGGGGGATGGTGAGGCGGGCTGGAGGGGCTGGTGAGGCATGCGGGTTTAAGCTTCGAGTGTGTACGACGGGGCATGGTGAGGCGGCATGAGAGGCGGTGGATGGAAGTGCGTATGGGTGCGCGGTGGCGGGCTACTCATCACACTCGTTTCCCTACCCGATTCCGTCCTGTCCCTCCAAGCTCCCATCCTCATCCGTGCACTCCTTTACCCCATTTGGTGTGTTCCACATGCGCATCCCCACTCTGATGACTGGATCATGAATGGCGGCAGGACCTACCCGGCAGCGAGTTGAACGGGGAGGACTTCATCTGCAAGCTGCGAGTGGCAGAGGCGGGCGCACAGCCGCTGGCCAAGGGGCAGCAGCTGCTGCAGACGGCTCGGTCGCGCGCCATCCGCCCCGCAGGGGGGCTGGCATGCCCGCATGCGCGCGAGGGCATGGGGTGCGCCATGCCGCGCGGAGGGGCGCAGGGTGGATTGGGAGAAGGGGGAGAGGGCGGGAGAGCAAAAGTGTGGCGAGTGCAGTGGAACGAGGTGTTTGTGTTTGAAGTGCCGGCCCAGGTATGTGTCTCTGCTTGCTTGCACATCACTGCACGCATCTGTGTAACTGTGATGTGGCTTTCCATGTGCGTGCTGGCCTCCCCTGTCCTGGCCACGTGCGTGCATGCTGGTGTGCTTCACAGTTGCTTGTTGCTGTGCACTCACATCTCCCTGCATGCTGCTGTGCACCTTGTGTGCTGCCTTGCCCTCCCCCCTGTGCGGCGGGGCATGGCATGGTGTGGGTGGGTGGGTGTGTGGGTGGGGACAGAAGGAGTCACGGCTGGAGGTGGTGGTGAGCAACCAGGCAGCCAACGCGGGGCGAGGGGCCACCGTGGGCACAGCGGCTGTGCCCATGACTGCTGCCGCCGCGCCCACCCTCTCCGAGCGCTTCGACACCATTCCCGCCACTGTTCACGACGCGACCCAACCTCACGGCTCGGTTGGTAACCCGCGCTCCGGACCTCCGCCTCGGCATTCCCAACCTCGACGCTAGGCCCGTCGCGCACCCCATTTTCCACACATTACCGTTACCACTGTAGTTTCGCTATATATTCATCGCTCATGCCTTCGCTCATTTGGAATCTTGCTTCGATAGTGCAATTCTCGCTCGTTCACTCAATTGCACTCGTAACACTGGACGAGCAACGTCAGTCAAGTTGACTCATCAGATTTTTCTTGTACAGGTTTTCACCATCATAAGGACTTTGTCATTTTCACTATCATGCGGACATTGTCTGGTAACAAGGATTCTGAAAGGTTGCTTCAACGTTCAGGGTTTTGTGGAGGATCAGGGTTCTGCACTGTTACACGCAAGGCACACACAGTGATGCAAGCATCAGCAGCCAATAGGTGCGATTGGTTGGTTCCGTGGCGAAATATTATTCAGCGGGAAACCACGTCAGTGCCCCGCGGCTTGCGTGGAGAGATCTCTTGCATATGTGGCAGTGCCGCTTGCAATTCGATCTCCAGATTCTCTACTCGCCAGCGCATGTCCCCTGGCCGCGCGAAATCAGTCCTGGAATTCTGCGAGTAGCAGCTGTCCCTTGCGCATCTCATCTCAACTCCCAGCAGCTTCGAAATCAAAGTCGAAAGCACAGATTCATTTTTCCACGGTTTTCAGTCTGGGGTTTAGCTCACCATACCTTGTAACTCTTGGATCTTAGCACCTCAACCGCACTCATGGCAGCCGTCTCGTCGACCTTCAAAGCCGCTGCCGCGGGCATTGCGGCAGAGACGCGGCTAGCGGCACCCGTAGCGTCCAGTGCGCGCACGGTCGGCCTGCCCAAGTCCTCCTTCTCTGGCAACTCGCTCAAGGCCACCAGATCCTCCCCTCAACATGCCGCCAGGTCCTCGCGCCGCTCGCGCGCGACACCCCGCGCACAGGGGAACATCGAGGGCAAGCCGACGGTGCTGGTGGCGGAGAAGCTGGGCAGCGCGGGGATCGACCTGCTGAAGAAGATCGCCAACGTGGACTGCTCCTACAACCTCACGCCCGAGGAGCTGTGCGCCAAGATCTCGCTGTGCGATGCGCTCATCGTGCGCAGCGGCACCAAGGTGACCCGCGAGGTGTTCGAGGCGTCGAACGGGCGGCTCAAGGTGGTGGGGCGCGCGGGCGTGGGCATCGACAACGTGGACCTGCACGCCGCCACGGAGGCGGGCTGCCTCGTCGTCAACGCGCCCACCGCCAACACCGTCGCTGCGGCGGAGCACGGCATCGCGCTGCTCACCGCCATGTCGCGCAACATCTCGCAGGCCGACGCGTCCATGAAGCGAGGTGGGCATAACGCTTGCACCGATTAGAATTGCGCAAGTGACGTCCTAGAGTCTGAAGATTCTACCAAATGCACGAAATTCGCCAACAATCACAATCAAATTCTCACGCACACAAATCTGGATGGGAGTGCTTTTCTTTTGCGTGCCCTGTTTCTTCTTGCGCTTGACGCATTTGTGCCTGACGGAAGAGTTTCGTGTGTCCTGAAACCCGAAGAATTTAGTTTCACGACGCCAGTATTGCGGATCTCCAATTTGCGAGTGTGCCCCATTCTCATCATCCGATGCGTGTGTGTGTGTGTGCGTGCGTGCGTGTGTGCGTGCGTGCGTGTGGGCGGGCGGGCGGGGGGGCAGGCGAGTGGAAGCGCAGCAAGTACATCGGCACGTCGCTGGTGGACAAGACGCTCGCCGTGCTGGGCTTCGGCAAGGTGGGTTCGGAGGTGGCGCGCCGGGCCAAGGGGCTGGGCATGCACGTGATCGCGCACGACCCGTACGCGCCGGCGGACAGGGCGCTGGCCATGGGCGTGGACCTGGTGTCGCTGGACGACGCGCTGCAGCGCGCCGACTTCATCTCGCTGCACATGCCGCTCACGCCCGCCACCGACAAGCTGCTCAACGACGACGCCTTCGCCAAGGCCAAGCGCGGCGTGCGCATCGTCAACGTCGCGCGCGGCGGGGTCATCGATGAGGACGCGCTCGTGCGCGCGCTCGACAACGGCCAGGTGGCGCAGGTACGGCTGGTGGCGCAGGTACGGCTGGTGGCGCAGGTACGGCTGGTGGCGCAGGTACGGCTGGTGGCGCAGGTACGGCTGGTGGCGCAGGTACGGCTGGTGGCCCAGGTACGGCTGGTGGCGCAGGTACGGCTGGTGGCGCAGGTACGGCTGGTGGCGCAGGTACGGCTATGCACGTCGGCAGGCTGATGCGAGGGAGCCTTGCTTGTGCGGCGAGTATATTGTTTTTGCCTCTCCGAGTTTGTGTGTACAATTTCTGTACAGCTGCTGTGGCCGTCACGCATCCTCCTCCCTCGTCTCGATCCGCCCCTGCTCGTATCTCTACCTGAAATCGTCGCGCCCGCTCATAATCGTTCTCCCCGTCATGCGTCGTCCTCCCGTTCCCCCAACGTCCTCCCCATGCGCGCATCTCCCCCGCGCGCTCCCCAGGCGGCGCTGGACGTGTTCACGGAGGAGCCCCCCGCGGCGGACAGCGCGCTCGTGCTGCACCCCAACGTCATCGTCACGCCGCACCTGGGCGCCAGCACCACCGAGGCGCAGGTACGCCCCTCGCCCTCGCCCTCGCCCTCGCCCTCGCCCTCGCCCTCGCCCTCGCCCTCGCCCTCGCCTCGCTATCGCCCTCGCCCTCGCTCTCACGCATCGCCCCTCTGGACGCTCCCTTACTAACTCCCCCTCTTCCTCTACCCCCTCCCCCCCCCCGTTGGCGCTTGCGCAGGAGGGCGTGGCGGTGGAGATCGCGGAGGCCGTGGTGGGCGCGCTGATGGGCGAGCTGGCGTCCACCGCCGTCAACGCGCCCATGGTGCCCGCCGAGGTGCGGGGGGGGGGGGGAATTGGGCATGGGGGATGGGCCGAGGCGGATGGGTTGAGGGGGAGGGTATGCGGGGGCAGCATGGGTTGTGGGGACTGGTGCAGTGGGAGCGAGTGCAGTGGAATGGTGGATGCGGGCAGGCAGCGAAGGCGGATACCCACGATGGAGCCACGTGACGTGCAGTGGGGCTTCTTGGGGGAGTGCTTGGATGCGCATGCCACGTTGGCCATGTGACTCGTGCTGCTTGGTGGCGGGTGTAAAGAGCATTCAACAGAGCGGGCAGCAGTAAAAATGATGCAGCAGAGGGGCAGGATTAAAGAGGATGGAGCAGCGTGCGGGGCTTGGTTGGAGAGCAGGCGAGGGAGAGAGAGCGTGAGGCTGCTGTGGGTGCAGTGACGCGTGCTGTGCTGCTTGTCACGGATTAGCTCAACTTGAGCCACGCAGCTACTGGCATCTGGCATGTGTGGCATGTGTGGCATGTGTTGCATTCAATTTGCGATCTGATCAGCTTGTTCAGTACCACCACGCCCTCCAACAACTCGCTCAACTCCCCTCTCAACCCACACCCCCCCTCCGCCATTCCTCCCCCACCTCTTGGCTGCCCTGCCTGCCGGGGGAGCAGGTGCTGGTGGAGCTGGCGCCGTACGTGGAGCTGGCGGAGAAGTTGGGGCGGCTGGCGGTGCAGCTGGTGAGTGGCGGTGCGGGTGTGAAGGACGTGAAGGTGACGTACCGCACGGGGCGCAGCAGCGAGGACCTGGACACGCGGCTGCTGCGCGCCATGATCGCCAAGGGGCTCATCGAGCCCATCTCCAACGCCTTCATCAACCTCGTGAACGCCGACTATGTGGCCAAGCAGCGCGGCATCCGCATCCGCGAGGAGCGCCAGCCCGTGGACGTGGACGAGTCGGTGCCCCTCGACACCATCGTGCTCGAGATCACCCACGTGCAGTCCAAGCTGGCGTCCGCCGTGAGCGAGGAGGGCACCATCACACTGGGCGGCAAGGTGAAGGACGGCGTGCCGCACCTGATCCAGGTGGGGCGGTTCAGCACGGACATCGAGCTGGAGGGCAGCCTGCTGCTGTGCCGCCAGGTGGACCAGCCGGGCATGATCGGCACCGTGGGCATGCTGCTGGGCTCGCACGACGTCAACATCTCCTTCATGAGCGTCGGTCGCACGGGCCCCAGGAAGCAAGCGCTCATGGCCATCGGTGTGGACGAGGAGCCCAGCCGGGAGGTGCTCAGAGACATCAACTCCATCCCCGCCCTCGAGGAAATGGTCTTCCTCAAGCTCTGAACAGGCGCCAATTTAACGGTAGCAAGAAATTAGTGCATGGATCTCACACTCATAATGAGTTGCATGTGTAGAGTCACAGAATGTTGTGCATGCATCTCACACTCAATACAGTATCAGCAGCATTCTAAACTGAGATTGTAGGCGCTTTTATGGTACTACTGGTAGTGAATTTCACTTCCGTTCAGTTTCACAATGCTTACAACAATACTAGGTCCCAAAATTGGTTTTGGGCCACCCCGTCTAATCAGGGTTTCAGGTCAGCTCTACCCTGACTCTTAGTGTAAAAATTTCCGTACAATGTCAAAAACAGCCTAAAAAAACTTGGTTACCCTGATAATTCAACTATAGTACCGTTTCTTGGTTACCACTTGCCATTCTAGAATCGGGCTAGCCAGCAGCAGCTAAAATAGTGAAGGCCGTTGTCAAATGTTGATATGTTCTAGATAGTTATTCTAGGCTACAGTGAGTTGCCCTCTAAAGGGTACAACATTCTCTAGGTCGACACTTGTATCTCATTGTATTCCCGAACTTACACAATTCTCTCGACACTTGTTCCTAGCCTATTTTAAGATGGTATTAGAGTAGGTAATTTTTCTCCCTCCCACGCTTCCGCTCCCTCCCCTAGCCGGTACCGAGGCGCCCATCCCTTAGGCTCCGTTTCGTCGCGGGTAGGACGGCCCCCGCGGGCCTCGTTTTCGTCGCGTTCAAAGGCCCCCGCGGGCCTCGTTTTTCGTCGCGTTTAAAGGGTCCCGCTGGCCCCTCGTTTCGTCGCGCTCCAGAAGGGAACCCCCCCCCTGCGGGCCCGAGTAGTCGTGCTTAGCCCGCAACAGCCGCACGTGCACGCAGCAGGCACACACGCACCAGCAGCAGCAGCGCGCGCGTTAGCCAGCGGCAGCCGCCCACGCCACTGCAGCACGCGCATTGCAGCAGCAGTGCTCGCATTGCAGCAGCAGCGCGTGCATTGATGCAGCAGCGCGTGCATTGCTGCAGCAGCGCGTACATTGATGCAGCAACACGGCTAGGCAGCAGCGCGTGTTACTGCAGCAGCACGGCTAGGCAGCAGCTAGCCGCCAGCAGCTCGCCGCTAGTAGCAGCTAGCCGCCAGCAGCTAGCCGCCAGCAACTAGCCGCCATCAGCAGCTAGCCGCCAGAAGCAGCTAGCCGCCAGCAGCAGCTAGCCGCCAGCAGCCAGCCGCCAGCTAGCCCCTCCCACCCGCCCACAGCCCCTTTCAACCGCTCACAGCCCCTTCCAACCGCTGACAGCCCCTCATCACGCGCGCACACCACCCAGGACCACCCGAACTCCGTTGGTTCGACACTCGCGTCACTCATACTCACAGTGTTTCGCACCGTCGCGGCTGGAGGCCGCTCCACTTAGCTGTTTAGGCTAGTCTTGACGTTCATTGTTAGCTAGGTCTCTCCTCACTCCGCTAGCCCTTCGAACGACTACCCGGCTCCTCGATCGGCTCGTCAGCCCTGCCTCCTCCAGCCGTCTGCTCCTAGCTCTGCTAGTCCCAGCTCCGTTCGTTACTAGACTGGCGTTCCTAGCTCAGTTTTCCTCCGTGATCCGGCAGTACCTCGCCTAGTCCCACCTGGCGCTCCTCGCTCCTAGCTCCGTTTGCTCCGTGCTCCAGCTGCTCCTAGCCTAGTGTCCAATATGGACTCCTCCCGCCGCCTTCGTTTCGATGCAGAGGGGCGCCCGATAGAGTTCGGCACCTGGCTCCGCCAGACTCAGCGCTATCTCACCAGTCAGCGCCAGGACGGCGCCACCCTGTACGCCCACGCGTCCGGCGCCCTCCAGGCACCAACGCGTCCCGAGCCCCTCCCTGCCGTGCCCCCCCCGACTCCGGAGGCGCAGGCGGACTACGCTCGTCTCGTCTTGGCGCGGGACGTTTGGGACTCCCATGACGCTGCGGCTGCACTCGCGCTGACCGAGCTCCTTCCACCGACTGAGGCCGCTCACTTCGACCTGGTAGAGACTACGAAGGAGGTGTATGATGCTATTTCTGCACGCTATTCCACCCCTTGCTCTGCCTCCCTCAGCCGCATCCTCATGCCGTTCGTGTTTCCCGACCTCGGCTCGTTTGCGACTGTCTCTGACCTAGCCACACACTTGCGCTCCCTTGTCGCTAGCTACCGAGCAGCTTGCACTGAGGCTCAGCTTCTTGTTGCACTCGTCTCCCTGACCGCCTCTCCACTGCCCGTGACGCACTTCTCCAGCAGCACCCCAGTGAGCTTATTGATCTTCTCGAGACCACTCTCGGGAAGATCGAGAGTAACCTCCTCTCTGTTGCCTCAGCCACTGACGCAGTTGCCCCTCGTCTGTTTGAGGGGTGTGCTGTCCCCCAGCTTCCTACCTTCACCGCTACTTGTGCTTCTGCTGCTGTGTCGGTCTCTGAGGACACTGCAGCTGTTTCTGCCGCTGACAGGCAGAAACGGGGCAAGGGAGGCAAGAAAGGGGGGAAGGGGGGTGGCGGCGGTGGAGGAGGTGGCGGTGGTGGAGGCGGCCCTGGGGGCGGCAGTGGTGGCAGTGGCGGTGGTGCCCCAAGCGGAGGGAGCTCTGGAGGAGGTGCTGACCCGCCTGCTGGAGGAGGTTCGACCAGCGCTGGTGCGGGGCCCCAGCAGCAGCAGCCATAGCAGCAGCAGCCACAGTAGAGACAGCAGCAGCAGCAGGGACAGCACCAGTGGCAGGCACCACAGTAGTTTCAGTCGTGGGGACCCCCACTGCGGTGGGGTCCGCAGCAGCACTGAGGCCCTCCGCCACAGTGGGGACCTGGAGGACCCGGGAGCACTGGCCGCAGCAGCAGCACTACCAGCTGGGCCCCTCGCCCCCCGCGGCGCGACACCGGCCCCTGCGACCACTGGTGCGTCACCGGACCGGGCAGTCCCTGTGTCTGCGGCCGCGACGACCACTATGCAGCGCGGTGCTTCCGCCGCCTCGACGACCTCTCCGTGCACGCTGGGGTCCTGAGGCGACCACCCCGCGCTGGGCTCGCCTGCTAGCCCGTAAGATTCCTGTATTTGAACTGTCTACGGACAATGCTCGTCAGTATGCTTTGTATGCTGATGTTGACTATAGTGCTGATGGATATGTGTGCTCGCGTGTTCGTAGTCTAGGATGCTTGCCTCCTGTTAGTGTAGACCTGTGCCTCTCTAGTCTAGGTGCTTGTATCTCTGCTCTAGGTGCTTGTGTAGCCTCCGGACCTAACACGCCTCCGGCTGAGGCGTCTCTGTCGTTCACGCTGGACTCTGGCGCGTCGCAGTGTTTCTTCCGCGACCACACGACCCTCACACCACTCCTTGCTCCGGTTCCGGTAGCTCTGGCTGAGCCTTCTTCAGGACCAGCCGTTGCGCGCAGCTCCACCACCCTCCCGTGCCCTGTGGTCCCCTCCGGTGTCCTGCGCGGCCTCTACATCCCCTCGTTCACTCGGAACTTGGTGGGTGTTGGATACCTCCAGGACAGGGGGATCACCATTACATTTGTGGGGGGTGGGAGGACTGCGGTCTGTACAGACGCTGCTACAGGTGCTCACGTTCACCAGGGAGTCCCGCTCTGGTCTCTACGTTCTCCACACCAAGCGCTCCCCGGTTACTTCCGCCGTTCACGTCGCTGCGTCCCCTCAGGTCCCAGTGTCTAGTCCGGTTGCTGTGTCTGGTCAGGTAGTGGTGTCTGGTCAGGTTGCTGCGTCTTGCTCCTGTCGGTCCCTCGCCCACCTGACCGTCTTGTGGCACCACCGCCTTGGCCACCTGTCGCTCCCCCGCCTCCGCAGCATGGCCAGTCACAGTCTTGTCTCAGGTCTCCGGCGCGTCTTTCCGTCGCTCCCTCCCTCGCTTGCCCCACCCTGCACTCCTTGCATCGTCGGCCGCCTGTGCGCCACTCCGCACTCCTCCTCCCTTCGTCCGGCCACTGCTCCCTTCCAGACTCTCCACTTGGACGTCTGGGGCCCTGCCCCTACGCTGGGACCTGAGGGGGATTGCTACTTTCTAGTGGTCGTTGACGACTACTCCAGGTACACCACGGTGTTTCCTCTCGCGAAGAAGTCCGAGGTGACTTCTACGCTGATCCAGTGGCTTCTATCCACTGAGGGCACTCGTGGTAGTCGTGTCCGTTGTCTCCACTCCGACCGTGGGGGTGAATTTCGCTCCGGCGTCCTTGCCGGGTTCTGCGACGAGCAGGGCATCAGACAGTCCTGGACGCTGCCAGAGTCTCCACAGCAGAATGGGGTTGCTGAGCGCCGCATTGGCTTGGTCATGGACATCGCCCGCACGTCCATGATCCATGCCCGTGCGTCCCATTTTCTGTGGCCCTACGCGCTGCGCTACGCCGCGCACCAGCTGAACCTCCAGCCGCGTGACTCGCAGCCAGAGGTTTCACCGACCAGTCTTTGGCCTGGGTCCCCTGGTGTTGGGTCGGCCTTTCACGTCTGGGGCTGCCTTGCGCTTGTCCGTGACACCTCTGCGGACAAGCTCTCGGCTCGCGCCATCCCCTGTGTCTTCCTTGGTTTCCCAGTGGGCTCTCCCGGCTACTCCTTTTACCACCCGCCCCTCCAAAAGTTTCTAGACTCTCGTGACGTCCGGTTTGACGAATCAGTGTCCTACTACACTCGGTACCCTTGTCGAGGTCTCCCGGTTCCCCCTCCCCCCCTCTTCCTCGCACCCTCTCTTCCCCTTGCTCCCGCTCCTCCGGTACCCCCACCCCCCCCTGGTCCTGCCCTGTCAGGTGTGTCTCACGCTACCCCTCTACCCTCGGTGGCACGTCAGGTAGCGTCTCCGTCCCCGCAGTCCTCCTCACAGTCTCCTCAGCAGCCTTCGGCACTTCCGCGACAAGTTATTGTGGACTCGGTTGGTGTTGGAGCTAGAGGTCCAGCCACTGGCGGTACTCGGTCTGGGGGTGCTCGTTCGAGGGGTGCTGGAGCTGGAGGTGCTGGCGCAAGTGGCGCTAGCTCTGGGGGTGCTGGAGCTGGAGGTTCTGGCACTGGAGGTGCTAGTTTTGGGGGTGCT